ATTTGCAAAAATTATGGCCGTTTCAAATATAAATACAAGTATATCGAAAGTATATCAGACAGGGCGGGATATCTTTCTTGATATTTTTTTCAGAAAGCCCTAGTGATAGACAACTCGAGGAATGATATTATATATAATGAAACAAAGTAAATTGTTGATTAAGCACGGGCTTAAGCCAGTGAATATAAATGCACTTCTTTTAAGTTGAGGCTAAATTTGGACGCAGCCTGACCGATTATGGCTAATTTATGAAGAAAATTCCGGATGTGACGCTACAGCTACAGCTTTGCGGCAGGATCGGAGTTACTGTGACCAGATATACAATTGATGGTTTTCAAACCATTCCCAAGAGAATTAAATAACAAAAGACACGGCGGCCATGTTGAAGGATATAACAAAAGAATTCATTGACAATTCTTTTGTTAAGTTCCTCCAACATGGCCGCCGTGAAAACCATCAATAGGCACACTGGCATAAGCCCGTGCTTAATCAACACGTCTTAGTTTGTCATTTGTCGTTTTTCCGTCAAAACTACTTATGAACTCCAGACCAGACGACAACAATCTCTATTCAGTACATTTTGCAATCGCTTTCTCTGTTTTCCTCTTATCGACCTTTTTCACTTTGCTAACAGTTGCGCATCCCGCTCTTATCAAAGCCGCGAAAAAGGAAGTACGGTTGTTCGGTACGCACGATTTTCGTCTGTCGATTTGAAAGGCATGTGTTGGTATTAGCACCTTTTACTATACCAAGCTTTGAATAAAATTTGATCAGTATCTTCGATCAGCCCTTACTTTTTATATTCTTCTTTTCTCAGACCCCTCCCATAATTTCCCGGGGGGGGGGGGGGGGGACTCCGGGAAAAAAGTACCGGGGATGCTCCTCGGAAATTTTCAAAAAGACCCCTCATTTTTAACCCATAAGAGATACCACAACAAATAATATTAAAACAAATTATATATAATATTAAATAAAATTAAAAGAAATGCAAAGATAGGATGTTTAAAATTTGTTTAATGACTGGAATTGAGTACACCACTGAGCTTCCCACTGGTAAAGGTTTACGAAAACGTCTTCATAATAAACACTGTGCATTAAGTCTGGCATATAAAAAGCGCCTAGGATAAGCCATATCGATGCGCGCTTCTCTCCTTTTCCTACACCCTAAGATATACCAGAAAATGCTGATTTTCAAAAATTCGCATTTAACACCCTAAAAGATACCAAATCGCGAATTGTTACCCCTAAGAGATACGACGAGCATCTCCGGAGTAGCCCCCCCTCCGGGCATAATATCCAGTAAAGTATAACGTAGCCTCCTTCGCAGCCGTTCTTAGGGTCGTCACGCAACGTGACGACCCTAAGAACGGCTGCAAAGGAGGCTAAGTATAACGCTGCAGGGACTCTAAACTATAGGGCATTAAATGCCTGATGGCTAGTCGAAACATACCAATCTCTGGATTCCTGTTTTGAAACGTGCGTCTATGAACAAAACAGGAAGTGTGTCGGGACGGCACCAAATACGTAGTATCACGCAAATATTAGAACAACAAATTTATAAAACATTTTATAATTTAAGTATCTTTATATCAATAACTCTATTTTCAAAATAGTACTTTGGATTTTATTTAGATTTCTAATCTAATTATGACTTAAACACTTTTTTTGACGTGATTTTTTGGCATTTTGCCCGGGCTGACCCCTAAAATAAATGTTACATCACTAAACGTCACGAGTGATGCAACAAAGCGAAAGAACAAATTATTAGTCTTCGGTTTCATACAGAAGAAACATGGTGGACTAAAGGGAAAAAGTTGTTCGCCGTACACTTAGATTTTAATATCATGGGGAAGATTTTCCTCATAATAATTGCAATCTTAGGTTCTTGTACGGTAAATGAAGCGTTGAGATGTTGTACGTGCGCTAATGGAAACTCAATAGACGTCTCCTATCGAGAATGTAAGAATAACAACACGTGCAACTGGACTTGTAGTAAGTAGTTATTACGATTTTCTTTCCTTAAAGATTAATTTGAGCTCTCTATCTAGTATGATAAGCCTTTCTACCGTCAAGATTCCATATGTTTGGCCAATGATAATAGCGTCTACTGTCGTCTCTATTACGACTTCTACTCACTTTCGGTATTGCGTACAGGAAATCATAGTCTCCTTTGCAGCCGTTCTTAGTACGTATAGTTTACAAATGGCGTATATAACCAATCATCGTATGATATAGATAATCTTAATTCCAATTCTTAAAAGTTTGTTTCGATTTAAAATGATATTATAAGCTGAATGTACAGAGCAAATTCCTTTTACTATTTCCATATAATGTTTTTATTATTTCCATATCTTTTTATATGAAGTATTTATAGTGGTAGAATGCAGGACTACGACCCAAATGGGTTAAAAGAAATATCCTTTACCCCTAGCAGTGCACACTGATGAAATATAGTTAAAAAAGGCAGAACAGAAAAGAAAGTTACGACATGTAAATAAGTATAGATTTCAAAGTCAGACATTTCGGTTATGCAGATTTCAGATATCACATAATACATGCAAAAAAAAAAAAAAAACAACAAAAAACAAACAAACAAAAAGACAGAATATTACAAGAGTTTTACTGAGATAGTGTCTGAGTTTATTCAGCAGTCGTATTGAAAAAACTCTTCAAGCGATTGATAAGTTTTGTTCTCTAGATAATAGATTTAATCTCTTAGAAAACAGCTTTTTGATAATGATAATATATCTAATCTCTAAAGAGGAAGCTTAGATCACAATGTATGAAACATAAAATATAGAAAGTATTGGTACCAATCTGTACCTACTTCAAATTAAACTATAAGCACCGAATAAATCTTAATCCCAGCCTACAATGTAAGGCAAAGCTGCCCGTCATATGCTATTACGTCAACGTATCCTATTTCTATATATGCCCTGTGTATTTTCATTCTTTATCGCTACCAAACAAAACGCAAATCAATTCATTAGCATTTCATTTCATCATAAATTTCGCAAAAATTAGGAAAAAAATTACCGTATCAATTTTATAATGCTGGTATATCGTTGCCACGAGGGGGGGGGGNGGGGGGGGCATGGCGAATGAATGATTCATGATTCTTTCAGTAGAAACAAAATATAACCGAACCCCCTTCATTAAACGGATAGCTCGTTGCACCGTCGCGAGATTTTCTTCTCATATTTACTGTAAAATAACACGCTCTTGGAGTGTGCATCGGGTTGCCCAATGTGCTGGTATGATGAAGCTTATTTGTACCGCTATTTGGGGGGAAGGAACACTACTGATGCGGCTTTGTAGACGGAAAAAACGTCACTAAGTTTCAATATGCTCTCCATGTTGTTGAATTACACAATAACCTTTGACCTGACAAAGACTCGTTTTGACTGACGAAATAAGTATATTTATTTCGAGAACAGGGTACATGGCCAAATAAGCGACATCAATTCGTTTAGAAATATGTTTGAATGGTTATTTGTTTTTCGCTAACCATTCTGAAGTTCTCGATCTCTCCATTGTTGTTTATATTCTTCAAATATAGTTTTCTTTTAAATATCCAAATCAACTGTGAAACTCGGTTAGTAAAAGGATTCAAAACTTAGCAAAGTATATACGGCCAAAGTTACCAGCTCTATTACCGCGTAGCATTTAACGAATATGCCTTATACGGAAAGCCGTATTTTCCTTTAGGCTAAACTAACCCAAGCAATTGCAGCCAGAATACTGCTGACTGAGTAGGTGTATTAATGCTAATAAATATGTGAATTCTAATCCTAGAAATCTTCTTTTACTGCTCCATTATATTACTTCTAAAGCCCGGAATTACATCGTCAGCTACCAAGCCAATGTATGAGCCATTAACCTATGAGTAGATATGAAATGAGAGTTCTACAACATGAGGAGCGAGGAGCCGGCGGAGCCAGGCTACCACCCCTCCCCCACAATTTTCGGAGCCGGCGGAGCCAGGCTACCACCCCTCCCCCACAATTTTCCGGAGCCGGTGGAGCCAGATCCCAGACCACCCCACTCCTCCCCCACGATTGTTACCGATTGCTTAAGAATGAATTTAGAAACAAAAGAGAGGGGGCTTCTCTCCTAAGATTCTTGTTGAATAACCATTTTTAGCGGTTCTACGCGCCATGAGGAGCTCGGAGCCGTTAAAGGCAGGCCCCAGACCACCCCACTCCTCCCCCACAATTGTTACTGACTGCAAAAATGAATTTAGGAACGAATGAGAGGGGGCTTCTTTTCTAAAATCCTTGTTAAATAACCATTATGATGGGTTGATACTTATCGACCGCTAGATATTGTTTTGGAAATATATAAATTCATAATTTCATTCAGTTCGCATGAGGTTGATCTACTGTTGAGTGTTTATTGCAAGTTATTGCAATTTTTCTTTTACAACGATACGGCGGTACACGTAGTGGCGATGAAACGTATTGACTCTACAAGAATTAAGAATAGGCCGACTTTTATATTTACTTATTTTTCCCTTCTTCAGAATGACAAAAACCCCAACCAGGGAATTGTGAGAAATGTATTACATGAACATAATATTAAAGAGCTCTTGTTCAAGTAAGATTTGAAGGAAAAAAATGTATTTTGAATTAATGAGGCTGTGAACTACTTTCAGAACAAGGTTTTGATTGCATCACCTTTCTTGGGTTGACAAGGTTAATCCCCTCTGTCAAATGTTATTTGWTTAAACAGCGGGAAATAAAAGGCCTCTAATGCCCATTGGTTTCATTCTTAATATCGATTCTTTTCAATGATGACGGTTTTCTTAAAGTGCCCCTGTTGCCCCTAGTGCCCCTGTGAGCAGCGCATGAGTAAAATGAGCAGAACAAGAGGACATCTCTATAACTATTTAACTACATTTAATA